TTTTTTTTTTTCTCCCTCACAAAACTTCCAGCACTCTTCATTGTTCTTCACTAATCGTTATAAAAAAAAAAAAAAAAAAAAAATACTGTGGATTTAAAACAAACCTCCTTTTATTTTTGCTTATATTATCTATAACCATAAACCGACAAGATAAATTATTCTACTTAAAAAGCAATATAAAATTAATTAAATAAATAGACATTAATGAATCCTATCTAGTTATTAACAGCCACGATCGTCATTAAATGGTCGTTCCGCATTGAATATAGATTTCATTGCTGGTTTACGTCAGGTTTATCAGCCCTTCCACTCAATAACACACGTTGCCTCCATTAAACTCACCGCTCGATACTTGAGTTATACCAAGTTATCCAACATGAAATAAAAAGAGAAATAATCCAACAAGCAATGTTTAAAAAAAATAAATGTCAGCATACAACAAAGCAGTAGCGGATTCAGAAATTAATTTTTAGGGTGCTGTTTATTTTTTAATTTAATTTATTTATTGTATATATTGTGTGAATAAAGTCTTTTTCACTTACAAGTAATGTCTTACGTAGTGACGAATATAATATTTTCTTTATCACATAGATGAAAATAAATAAAATATGATTTCTAATATTGGCCAACGAGTAGTAAATTAAATTAACAGTTGTATAATTTGCAAAATGGGGGCTTTTCCACCGATGAGCGGGCAGGGAGTACTCCCTAGTAAAAAAATCTTACGTGTCCACTGACACGACTTCCTAACTATTTTAGAAAAGAATTTATATCTTTATATATGGCCATTAAGAAACAAAAAAAAAATCGGATTAGATTTATTTTCCTAAAAACTGATCAAAGAAAAAAATTTGAGCACGATTTATTTGATTAACTAAAGCAATGTAAACCGGCTTAAGGTAGATCAGTGTGAAAAATTCAATACCCTTTAATATTGCTTATCAAAAACTTTTTTCATTATCTTAGTATTGCTGAACAATAATTTCCGTTAAAAGTAGAGGAAATAGTGAAGATTGTGTGATGTGGGCAACAGATTCACTTACTTTCACTTCGTTATCTTTTTTCTCTCTCATTCACCCCTTTCTGACGTCAGGATATGAAACCGTAATCTTACATACGAAATTAACTAGCTACAACTTCGTTAATAGTTGTCCAAAATGGACGACTTTTAAATAGTTGTGTTGATAATTTTATTACCTTTCAAACGCTTTATTATAAATTTTAGCATAGAATATATACGTAGCGAGTTAGAAAACAAAACATTTTTCTTTTTTTTTATAACTATTTTCCTGATTTTTTTTTCGTGAATTTAGCTCACGTACGAAAATTGAAAGGACAATCATTAGAACATTATAGGAAAGTTTCATCAAAATTATTGATGAAATTGATTTCGCGCTACAGTCAATAGAAAACCATGTTTTTAATTTATTGCACACGAAGCACCCAATTTGTGCCACAGGCATCAGTAGTCAAAACACAAGAAAAAAAAAAAAAAAAAAAAAAAAAAAAAAAAAAAAAAAAGCAACAAAATCGGTTCACTAGTTCCCGAGAAAATCTTAGCACAGACAGACAGACCAACTTTTTCGAACTTAAGGGGCTCTGAAACGTATAGATCCGTCGAAAACCGCATATAGGTTGAACTTTGACCCGATCGCAATACTTTCCTTATCTATGATATAGGTAGGAAAGTAAAATATGAAGACAGACTACAAGACTTCCTATGACTTGAAGTTTGTATAAGTGAAGCTGAAGTTGCTAATCAATTAATTGATGCTTATCTGATAACTAATTAACATAAATAGCTTACCATTGCCTGGTTGTGACTGTGAGGGGGGGGGGGTAAGAGGACTGATAAGGAGTTGGCGGCGAGAGGAACCTACCTGATTAGGCTACCTATCTCTAACAGGTAATCAGCTAAGGTTATAAGGGCGTTATTACTCTCGGTCCTCGAGAGAGATAAACTTGTAAGCTCTAGTAATTATACATGTTTAGGCGTTGCTGTCAACTTAAAGGCAAATGGCGGAGTTTCAAGATGAGTTTTGCTAAAACATAAAATAAAACTAAAGATATATGTAAAGAACCCAAAACAAATGTTTCATATATCAGACACATACGACTCACATCAGCAGCCTGAAAACGCACAGTCTCTGGCTTAGACTAATAGCTTTATGCATAATAAATTCTATGCTGTAATTAATTTCAATGCCTATTTTGATTATAAGTTACTAGTAGGCACATGCGGAAAATTCGCACAGCATATTGTTATCAAATGCCAAATCAATAACAAAATAAAATAATGAAACCTATCAAAAGATAAAGAAATCATTAGGTACTTCATCGATAAATATAATCGAAAAAGGAAACAAAAATCAATTTAAATCTTCAATAAGATGATTTTTTTTTTCCTTTTATAGGAAATTTAGTTATCTTTTATATAATCATGGGCATGACCAAGAGAAAAGTGTGTTATTTTTTAGTTATTCGCAAATAAAGTTTGTTTTCTTTTGTAACTTGTTAGCCTGAATTTTCGGGGTGATTGGACTATTTTGCCCACCTGAAGGAGAAGAAAGCCTTCGAAATTAGTGGCTCAATCTTGAGATTTGGTGAAGAATTAACGATGATATGGCTTGCCGATCAAAAACACCATCGATAAATAATATAAACTCGATCATAGAGGGCTCAAGTCGACGAAATGAGACATGTATTCTATGATAGTACTACAATTAAGGTAAGGTTATGTGGATGCGAACCCTATGCCTTACGTTATCTCGAAAATAGTACGTTTTAGGACTTCAAGTCGACGAAATGAGACATGTATTCTATGATAGTACTACAATTAAGGTAAGGTTATGTGGATGCGAACCCTATGCCTTACGTTATCTCGAAAATAGTACGTTTTAGGACTTAAAAACGCAGGATCCAATAGTTCCGAAGGATTGAAGCCTAGCAAAATGTTTGTATTGACTTTATTTAATTTAGAAAGAAAAACAAAAGTGGAGAATACGATTCGGCCAATGAAGTTCTGAATCGAACGGTACCCCATTCATGGTATTTGAGGTTGACAGGAGCTTATATTACGTACAAAACCGATTTCGAGCCTTACTGTAATAATATATTTGGGGATATTCTATTGTTTTAGTATAATCAAGTTTTAGTCGAATAATGAAAATTGAATTAGAAATCATGTTTTCTGACGTCAAATAGCCATGTTAATATTTAAATTGCTCAGACCATGTAAAATACAGTTTGCCTCAATTGTGATGTTGTTATTCAATATTAGAGACCTTATCAATCAATAAACAGGCGATATTGAATAAAAAATAAAATAAAAATTAGGATCAATTCAACAGTCGATTTGGTTAAGGTTAAGTTTCCCTGTAAATTCTTAAACAGCTGTTCTGGGATTTTCTTCCACCAGTCTGCAGAACATTGTCATCAAGAGAGGAAGTTCTTCCACGACCTCCTTTGTCTTTAAGGCTGATGTCTCCCTCCTGAAATGTTTTGAACCACCGTTGAACAGTGCACGCATTAATGATGCTCTAGCCCCAGACTTGATTGATGTTTTTGGACGTTTGGGATCCATCCCGCCCGAGTTTTAACTCGTAAAACAAAATTAAACCAAAATCACGCATTGACATCTGTATGAAAGACTGAATTATTTCTAAGCAGCGAAACTCTACAGAGAGTAAGCAAACATTATCATTTGGAAGAGGATTAGTAAGTATTGACATCCAGACAAACGTATAACCCAGTAAACGTAAAACAGTTAGTTATATAGAGGGATATTTTAAAGAGAATGTAAACTCCAGCATTATTTTCCTTACATACTTTGGTTTTAATTTAAAGGATTGAGGCAGCGAAATGATATCTGTATTCACCAAAATATCAAATTTGTCTTTGGGAAATGTGATAAAAATGGAAGGGTACACACAAATTAATCATAACATGCTAGGATATATTATTATATATAATTATCTTTAAATTTCAACAATAGGGATATAGGCCTTGGTAAATGCTTGTGTACCTACTTCAAGACCTTAGCTTAGTCAACTAATCAACTTTTCCTAGTTCCTTAATTTTATTGAAGTGACGATCGCCCCCTCGAAGTCTGCACTATGATCCATTGTATTTAAATTTTTCATTATATTGACGTAAAATGAACGCACGCCATTGTTTAATTTGATATCATTAATTAATTCATAACGTTCTTAACAATAAAAAAAAACTATTAAATGCAAGAAATGGATAATAAATAAAGGTTAACTTCATCATTATCGAAACTCAAACAATATAAAAGGATTATATTGATTTAAGACAGGTGAAATATGGCCTGATTCTAAACCCCGATAGAACATTTTGACGTCAATCATAACGAATCAAGGTCTCCTTTACCGTTGCTATCAATTAGAACAAATTAGCGCACTCTTCCCAAAATATATTTGATAGCTTCTCTCTTCCCTAACGCATTTCATGTACCTAAGTTCTGCCATAAGTACTGTTAAAAGTTGAACTTTGTTTACATCCTTGGGTATTATTTAGATAATCCTTACCTCTATCAGGTTATTTTATTTACATGTCAGGATAATAATCCCAATTAGTTTGTATTTTTCTTTCGCTCAGTTAATATGGAGTGGGGTGATAAAGAAAACCGAATAGCTGTGATCGCCTTACACAAAGTTGGAAAATGTAGGTCAGAGATTTCCAACATTTTAAAACCCTTTGGGTATCAGCCGTATGTTCGTCTACCGCACTATAAATAGATATAATGAGACCCAATCTGTATGTGACAGACCTCGACCGGCCGTCCCCGCACTGTGAGAACGGCAAATGCAGTGGCTGCTCGAATCAGGAAATGGCAATCTCTGTCAGATCATTGTCTCGCATAATAAAAAGTGACCTTGGGATGAGTGCATTTCGAAGTATGACAGGACAAAGGCTAACCACTTCACTAAAAAACGTTAGAATGGATAGGTGTAAAGTGCTCCTTGGTCATTACACCAATGATCTTCATCCAGCAGGATTCCGCTCCAGCTCAACTCAGCAGTGGCTGCAAAAGAACATTCCAGAGTTCATCCCTTCCTCGGATAGGCCCTTCAGGAAGCACTGATCTCAACCCACCAGATTACCGGCTTTGGTCCGAACTGGAGATGGCATGCCACAGAGCACACCCTAACTTGGAAAGCCTCAAACAATCTCTGGTCCGAGCAGTTGAGCACTTTCCTCAAGAAGTGCTGGGTGCTGCTATTGATGACTGGGCACGGAGATTAAATGCCTGTGTCAAGGGAAAAGGTGGACATTTTGAGTAATTTATTTTTTGTTTTAGTCTCTATAGATATACATTTTATATTGTAATAGTTTCTGAAAAAAAAATAATTTTTCTGTTGAAATTTGTATATATTTCCTTGTAACAATATTTATGACAGGACTAGCAAGAAGACCTAGATTTCTCATATCTATAAAAAATGTTTACTTATTTATTAAAAATATTTAACAGTTCCTTCCTAGACTATCTCAAGTGAACAAGTGATCATAGAGCTATTTTCCTCTATTTATTTTTTAAATAAATTTTTCGTTTTCCTGAGACTCACGTAAATAACAATATTTAAATGCACAAAAGTAAAAAAAAAAAAAAAACAGGATAAGTATCCCACAGCACCTTTATTAACTATAAGGCGAAAAAAAAGGGAATAAGTGAAAGTGAAAAAGTAATTAATAATATCCAAATTCACAAAGTTTTACACACTATAATGAAATTAAAATTTAATATATTTAAAATTTAAATGTAAAAATATTTGTCCTATTGAAATAGGAGCTTTATTTTTAAGAATCGATCATTCCTACGATACACACCTCTACGCATCTAGGTCCTTCATATGTCAAGGCTTGAAAATGACTTGGCCCAACCCAGTTTGAATGGTATTTATTGATTTGAATATTACGAAAGGAGAGGGAGAAAAAAAAAAATCACAGGGACTTGAGTATAGTCGTTCTTACAATTTTTAAAATATATAATTAAATATTATATTAGAGCACTTTTTAGTGAAGACTGTATAATATTTTGCTAAACATAGACAAAATGGAACGGACCATAACGAAGACACTACACTTCTTATCCCCAAAATTATTTCTCCTATATTATGTTTACAAATTGACAAAAGTGGGCTGTATAATATAGATTTATAAAGAAATTAAAAATTTGCCCGAACAGTGGTTGCGTCCCGTCAATTTTATGTTGATAAAAAATAATGAAATCTAAACTACAGCATATATGCAAATTACAATTACACAATTAATTTTTTTTATTTTATATTCTTCCCTACCTACGGGATTTTCCCAGGCCGGAAATTTAAAAAAATCTCTTTCGGCAGCGGAACGCGAACTCGTACTTTTTTTAATCTCATAACTTCGGTTATTTGGTTGCCGGACACAACTCGCGGTGCTGTGCACACGTGTTGGCCCATTCGGCAACCCTCCCCCCCCCCTTCAATTATACAATTTGAGCAACGAGTAGTACAATTAAATGAACAGTTTTACCATTCATAAAATGGGGGTAGATCCGCCGTTAAGCGGTCAGGGGGTACCCCTTCCCGTCACCCCTAGTTATATCTAATTAAATATTAATTCTCCCTTCAACACTTTTAGAGAAAGCCCTGAACTTCGGGTCGAAACGTCGGCATATGTAAAAATAAATATTATCATTTATTTTTGCCTTCTTTTTTGACTGACCATCCCAACTATTCTTCTCTTCATTATCCACGACAGTCAACCATTTACCAATTATTAATGAATAACGTTGGAATTGCCCGAAAGGGTTTTAAAACATTTAATAACTATAAAAAGTTATTAAAGAAATGTGATTATCAGGTAAAACAAGGTTGTTTTTTTTTTCAAATTCTGTTTCGTGTCTTAACAATGGCCAGAATAGATATTTTCGAGGGAATAAAAAAATTAATGGGTCAGGTTAAAAAACCTTGAAGAGAAAAACATTAAAAGAGACAATAGGATGTAATTTGTAAGGGTCGATAAAAAGTTTACAACCTGATAAAAAAAAGAAAGAAAAATACTGTTAAAAGAAATAAGAAAAAAAAAAGAGATATTTGTATCCTTTAGGAGAAGATAAAAGTTGATTTGAAATTGAACGAGTAGTTCAAGTTCAATATCGATACGTTAACATGATCGATCATTATAAATTAGAAATAATCATTGAACTTTGCATTGCTGGATTTAACGAATGATCGATTAGAATCAAATGAAAAAAATAAACGCAATGAGGTTAAAAAAAAAAGTTGAACCGTGGGAATAATTCTCATAGCATATAGCTGCGTAAATGACAAATAATAAGATGGAGGTATCAATTTTCTTTCCTAGGCCAAAGCAATCGATACAAGGAAAAGAAAATTATTTCAAAACGTCACGATAGCAAACCACAACATGATCACAAATTACAATAGGCTGCATCTTTGCTAATAATGGTTCCATATTGATTTTTTTTTTTTTGCTTCCTCACTACCGAAGGTAGGGAAGCTTTGTATTCGAGCGATAGGTTAAAAAACATTTTGTGCTCCGAATCGAAAATTTCCACTCGCGTTTTATGTTTCAGACAAGGATCAAATTTGGTTCGGTGTCGGTCTGTTGTCAAATTGATGTGACGAGAATATCATCCAGGGATGCCCATCTCCCCCCAACGTCGATAGAGCATGAACACATCTCCTATCTCTCCAAAAATTGTATTTCACTCACCTTCTTAAAAACAGTGTAAGCGAAAGTAGGATTAGACCGACTGTATATCATATACTCTTGCTGTGGTCTGTCACTGTTTTCAAACTTTTCACTCCAAAAATTCATAGCTCTGTCAAAATGTCCCTCCCCCATAAAAATTTTGATGGCGCAACTTGCGCCACGAAACCTCCTTCTGGACACCTCTTATATCATCTAGTTTATTCGATTTTCATGAATTGTGCGAGTTAATATCTAGATGGTCCCGAATCAATTTTATTAAATTCCATACAGTACTTCCGCACTCGCGAATGTATTTTCTTAGATATTCTTACACCTTTATATATATATATAAAGGTGTAAGGATATCTAAGAATATATATATATATATATATATATATATATATATATATATATATATATAACTTTTAAAATAATTCTAGAATAATTATAATTGTGAAATAAAAGACCCAGTGGCAATAGTTGCCGAGTTTCGTATTTTCGCTCTTAGTAGAAAATCGTTTAAATTAAAAAAAAAAAAAGGAGAATTAAATATAATATAGTTACAATGAGTCCTCTATACGAAAATATCTAGAACTAAACGAGCCTTATCTCTTATAATTATAATATGGCCTTGAAACATTTAAAGAATAACCTAAATATGCCGAGAATTAGATCTTGGCACTAAAGGCGAAATCCATTTCCTAAAATAAGAAATACATCTCCACAATCCATTTTATTAGCAATATTTTTAATTAAAGATAAAAGTTATGAAATTAAGAACATTTCGTCAGATATTTCGATGATATAATTTTTTTACAAGTATTATAGAATTTTTCTGTGCAATATGTGGATGCTTATTCCCTAATTTAAAATAAATTAGGCAGGTCTGTATATATCATGTTCCGAGAACAATATAGAAATTGTAAAAGAAATTACAGCTAGAAAACAGTAAGACAAAGTAAAGTTTTTTTACGTTAATAAAATTTTACAGAAAATGTTTTTGGAGGTTTTAATTATTGATTAATTCACATGTTTCAACTTCTAAATGAAATCAAAGGAATCATGGGATTAGAGTTAAGTTTTTTTAACCTATAATTTCTAAACGGTGCATCGAACGAGTACCTGAATTTGTTTAGTGGTACGATAACCACTGTCAACAAATGCTGATTTTTTCGAAATTCATCAAAAACCGTGACAATTTAATATATATTAATATAATAGTCATGCAGCTTAGAAATGAGTTTTCTTAGAGGTAAAGTTCATAGAACAAAAGTTAATCAGCCACCATTTTTTTCAGGTAATATGATACGACTGGCAGACGCTTATTTTTAAATAAAAATCTAGTGTGCGCATCACACGACTTACACTCAACACCATCTTCTAAGCAGAAATAAGTATTTTCAGAAAGTGAAAGTAAAAATTATAGACGCTATATTTATTTACATTTCATTTTGGCTATCTTTAATTGTTTAAATACCCATATATATATATACAAATTTTATTTCTTTTTATTGATGTATTCTATACAATTAAATATTAAATAATACCAAAGATAGCATCTATGAAAACCACGTATGTATAAGTACATAATATTATCGGAGTCCGTATTATATTAAGCTCGTGTTACGTATGGAACCATGTTGTAATCTATTATTTTATATGTGTATCTATATGTATTATCTGTTACGAACTCTAATTCCTCCTTTAGTTAATTACCTTATAATCAATTATAATTAATAAAAGTTAAAGGTACTTTAGAGGAAGCTAATATTGAAAATTAGTCATTTAAGCTCTATTAGAGAACATGAATGAGAATAAAACCTACAATATATTAAAAACTGCTAAAATAATACACTGTTATACCGAGTTTAATCAGAATCGTTAGAGCCGTTTTTTTTAGAAAATCGTAAAAAGTATTAAATCGATTATATTAAGTACCATTTCCATTTTGACGAAAATAATGTTGCTGTAAAATCGATGGCTTATAAAAATCTTAAATATACAATTTCACTTTCGTACGACTTATCGTTTTGAGCTTGACTGATCGTTTTTGGACTCACGAGATCTCAAAACATATATTTCCGTTGAAAACTTAGATTTTCACGATCGCAATACTTACCCTTACTATATATTCCATATATAGGTAAGTGAAAGTAAAAAATATAAATATTACTTACATAAAAAAAAAAAAATGGTTTTGAATTTTTCTTCAGATGTTTTTTTTTTTTTGCACCGGTTCTCGAACTATAATGTCGGCTAGACTACCTAAATAAATATCCATTGCTGCTTGATACAATCGATAGGAGGAATCCATCGATAGAATTAGCTCCAAGTTTAGGTATTTTCTCTATGTAGAGCAGAAAAATATATTTTAAGTCAATGGTATGAACATTTCTCGATGTTTTAACAATTACCGGAATAATTTTAATGGACAAAATTAAAACGATATGTTTGTTTCCAACTTCAAGAAATAACGATTTCAGTTTCATTGAGAACAAACTTATAATTTTATAGAGAAGCAATTCCAAGGCCAGTCACCTCAATATTCATTTCTGACGTCATCGAAATTATTACTTCAGGAACTTCGTCGGTAATACACGTGTGCTCACTTTAATCATACGACTCATATTCACAATGAAAAAACAAAACGTTTTCTTGCAATTTAGGTAAATTATAATTTGTATTAATATATTGAACAATAGGACGGATACAATTATCTAAACTTACAATAACTTTTGAGTTATTCAGATCATCAAAACAACGATCTACATGCATTTTATCGCCAGGAGCCATCATTATAAAATTTGATTACTTCGTTGATATATTAAATGCATGTATCTTTATAATGATGAATAGTAGAAAACATCTCACGTTATGAATTGGTAATATGGTGGTTTAATATCAATAAGGCAGAACAAACTTGAGAGAAGAAAATCGTTAGAGGCCCAGACCTAATAGGTAAAGTGATCAGTTTTGCTCCATCAAATCCACACAGAGAGATTGTCAACAATGGCTGACTCATAGAGCATATTTACAAATTAATTTATAAATTTTTACTACTAACGTGATAAATCTCTCTATTATTCAATAAGTTGAACAAAAATTTTCTCGGGAGATTTCATTAAACAATTAAAATTAATATAAATAACTTTTTTTTTTTATTATATTGAGAAAGAATACAATTCACCTCAATTAAGGGCATTGAATATTTGAGATGTAAGAGGCTCATTCATAAAATATATACAATAACAAAAACAATAGAATTATAACAAAAGAAACTTCAAACAGAAGAAATAAAACATGAGCCAACATTAAATAAAAATATAAAAACATATTCATTAATATAAATAACTGTTGACAATATAGTGGCTGTGAAATGTGGAAGGCATTGATCAGATGGAATAGGAGATAGGTTAATACAATATTTTTCTGAGGTCATAAAATTTTTAGTTTTATTCATATTTATTTCCCTTGTCGAGTCCAAACGTTATGGGCATGACACTTATAACCCTGGAGCCAGGGCCCTAAAAATCGACCTCATCGCAGATGAAGGTTTGAATGTAAATTAGGAAAGTGTATGTTATTCTAAGCAAAATGTCTGCTTGAACCTCGAAGGTATGTGTGATTTTCAATATTTTAACAGTATGGGTGTCTATTCTACAGAGTTATTCTTGTTAAGTCTGTTACATGCAGGCAGTAAAGACATCTTTTCCTACTCTCAGCAGCGAAGGATTTTGAGAAACGAGGTGTCAAAAGAAACCGATCTCCATAAAGAAATAAGAAATCCCGATTTAAGAGATATAATTGTTCTACATTAAAACTGTTGTTACGTTTATATACTCGTTAGATGCACAATTCAAAGTTCTTTAATTTATTAAAGAGTACATGTTTCTTAATATCTTAAACTATTCCAGACTCCGCAGACAGAAGTTAAATTGAATATGATATACTGGTGAACTAACTAATATGTTGAACAAAAAACAAAATAAATAACATTTTCTTGATACTTTAATTAACACTTGGAATAAAGGATTATGAAGGATGTTGATAATGAAGAGAAACAAGTGAAATAACACAACACTTAAATAGACCACACTGTGTGGTCTCACATAAGACTTTTCATTTTCGAAATGCATTGACTTGAATGTCAGTGATCAGATAATAGATATTAGTAACAAATGCAAATATGATTTAACGATCTAAAATGTAATTTTTTTGTTTAAATTATTCGATTAGGGAGCAGAGTAGCTCAGCGAGTTAGGCACTGGGCTGCTAATCTAATGGTCCCAGTTTTGAACCCGGTCGATGTCAAGTAATTTTTCATAAGCCATGGATCGGCCCTGGGGTAGGGATACCCTCATAGGGCACACCCAGCCTCTAAAAATTAATAATTAAGAGGAAAAATCTGGTGGTTGAGAGTGATTCCGGTCTGATCACCTCCCTCCACAACTGTTGACCTAGAAGCAGTACTTTATATAAAAATACTGAACCTTGAAAGATTTCAAAATGAAGTTGATTCAAGTAATAATAATTTATTATTTATCAGATAACAATAAAAATACAGTCCAACTTAGTTAGATGGGAGGATGAACTCGACCAACATTAACCTGAAACTTATCTTCTCTTCCCTTACTCTCTAATCTTATTTACATATATATATTCATTCACAACTCATGAAGAAAATGTCTTATAATGTTTGTATGTATTAGTAAATATTTTGTGAATAATATCAGACGGTGAGGGAAAAACAAAATAAAGTTTTAGTTTCAACTTAGTGGCACATGAGATTGTCCTCGGGGTACCATCCAGTCTTGGGCAAGTTATAAAAACAAAAAGTGTACTATGGGTTCTTGAATCTAATAAATGCTATTAGAAAATACCAGACTATCAGAGCATATAATTAACATTCAGACGATTGTTAATATTCATGATATGTAAATATGTAATTAAGCGCGTCTATGCCCTCAATTTCTACTGAAAGCCGATCAAGCGAAGCATAACCTAAGTAAAAGTAAATGAAAGTACATGGATTTAAACTTGATGAATATTTTTTTAAAAAAGTTTTAACACTGACAAATTTATATAATATATAGTATTAGGTATATTAATTGACTTCCAATTATATAAATATAAATTATAATTTTTAAATAAAAAAAATTAAATTACATCAACATCATAAGTTTCTTAGCATTATAAGGCCAAGCTTGACCCTCTTATAGGTGGAAGGGGAAAAAAAGACTTGTTAAAAGTTCTACATTTTAATTAACTTAGAGAACAAGCAAAAAAAAGACTAAAAAAAAAAAATACATATTTTCAAGGTAATACTATTTTTGGACTTTAGATGATAATAATTCATTGATTTAATTTCATTTCATTACTTGTACCCCTTGGCCTTCTACAATATTAAATTATTATGACTTAAGTTTAATGTGAATAAATATATTTTAAAATTTCCATAAAAGATACGATTATTCAAAAATGTACAGTATAAAGCACTACAATGGTTAATTAAAAGAAGAAAGAGGAGAGCATTTGTTGAATAGTAAGTTATGCAAATGTTACAGTTTTCACAGCATATTGTTATACGTACATTGAATTTGGTACTAAAAAACTAGTTTATGACTCTACAGACAGCTGTGCTCTATAAAATAAATTAATTTATGAGGACAAAAATAAGAATAAATAATTTGATTTAAAACAAACCATGAATTCATTAAATTAAAAAAGTATAAGTACAATAAGAACATAATTTTATATCCCAATAAAGAATTCAAGACTTCATTGTTAAAGAGGTTAATAACTCTTATAATCATTAAAGTATTTTAATAATCGTTTTAGGTATATTTGGTATAGCAAAATTTTACACTAACAATTATCAAATTTAAATAATCATTTTAAAAAATTTAATGTCAAGTTGTATAAGGACACTATATTTCATGTTCAAATTAGTAAAGTACTAAAATTATATGTTCATTTCCCATTTTAAATAATGTGAGACAGAATAACTATAATAGATTAATATGTATCTCTTTTATTCTAATATTATAAAATTGAAACAGTGCCTACAAATCTTTCAATTTATAAACTATACCTGAATTTTTAAAAATAAATGTTACTAATCCATTTTGCTATTTTTTGTTTTGACTGATCACTCCAACCATCCTGCTCTTTATTCACTACAGTTAATCATAATAATAATAATTATTCACTACAGTCAACCATAAATCCAGAATTATAAACTATGAAACTTTTCAAACAAATAGGATAGGAAAATAACATTTCCATAAAACTACAAAAATTAAGATAAAACAAACAGTATGTGCTGAAAAGAACTGTACTTACTGATGCACTCCATATTATGAAAGTTGTTAAAGAAAGGAATAAGGAAACAAATACTTTCAACACCAGTGAAAATGATGAAACAATATAAAGTTGCAACATTCAATTTCTACCTGAACTTGAACGGTAACTATTATCTAAAATATAAACAAGGCCATCTTAACAAGGATATCCATATAATGGAAAAGTCATTAGCATCACTTGTTCTAGAGTAAAATTCAGTGCCCTTGGCCCCAAATGTGGAAAGGTTATGTAATTCTATACAACTGCAATAAATATGTCACAAATCGTTCCATTTCAGAAAATATTAATTGGATATAAAATATAATGACTACAAATACACATATAACTAAATTAATAAGTAAAATTTAAATATCTGATTGACAATATGTACGATTACAAAATTTTATATCGTAGGAAAAAGTAACATGATAAAAATAATCAGATAATTTAATTTTTTTGTTTATCTCTAATCATAAACTTAAAGGCAGGCCTACAAAATTAAAATAGATACTGTAAAATAACCAGACAATAAGACAGAATTACAGTATTTATCTATTCATTATCATATAACTTAACAATTAATATGAAAATGGACAATTACTCACGCACATAAGGAACAGTTTGGCAATGCGAATGTTCAAAGGAATGGATGTTCAGGAGGTAGGATTTTGGTATTCTTGGGTCAATGTAATTCTTAATTGTTCGCTGGATTTGTCTAAACACATTAAACCCTATGTTAAAGTGGGCTTAAGTAACCATTTATTACTTAAAAGGTTTTTGAAACCTAGAATTTAATTTTTGTTTTTTGTTAATCGGTGTATAAATCAAAACTGCTGCAATTGCTTCAAATCAGTGAAGATAAGCTGTGATCATTTTTCATTATTTAATGTGTGGAAATATTTCAAGTGGTTTTAAACTACTTAAAAATGTGAAATATTCAGGCCTAACCTAAAAATAGAGCTAGTCCAATATGGGGCTGATCGGCATTAATGTTACCTGTAATTCAGACACTTAATTCTATAAAGTAATTAGAATTCTTACCTCTATTTCTAAGAAAAGTCATATAAATTGGTAACGCCCTCCGGGACGGTAGGATAAACTATATGACAAACTCGGGACTTGGTAGCAGATGGTGGAGAAATTAGTGGATCCTTTAAGGTTCCACTAAAGCTAAACAGAACAGAATACGATAGGATTAAAAAAAATGATTAACTATTGAACACTTTGACAAGTGATTAAATGGAAAATGAAAACGAATTCCGTCAGCGGGTACTTACACTAAGGTGGTAAAAATAAAACAAACGAGTACTGAACGCAATAACCAGCATGTAACAGGAAATTTACCAGCTCCCTTTTACCCCCTCTACTTTCATTGAGAGCTTGATCATTTTTATCAATCACAATTATTTTAATTATAACCATTTTTAAAACCTTACTATCCCTAATTTTTTATAAATAATTTATATAATCATTAGTAAAATTTTTATTATATACTATTCAACTTATAAAATTAAAATTTATTGATAGCTTAATTTCAAGGAGGTTATCGTAGGGTTTCAAGACATCAAATGGTGTTATTTGTTTGTCTTGTACATAGTTTTATTTAAATTCACAAAAATGTCCACAAATTACGCTTGTATCAGCTGCAGAGTAACTTTTATTGATGCTGACATTCTGAGACAACATTATAAAACTGATTGGCACAGACACAACTTCAAAAGAAAGATAATCAATTTACCACCAGTCAGTGCTGAAAATTATCAGCGCAGAGTATTACAACTGCGGCAAAAATAAATTATTGATTCTGAAGAATTGAAAAAGTGATTCTGAAGATTACTCAGTCGATTCTGATTAATGGGAGGATGTAGAGAATGAAGATGAGTTTGAGGATAATCCTATCTTACAGAACAATTGCCTGTTTTATGATCATCACAGTAGTATGATGATCAAAAATCTTAAACGTATAGCCTTAGAACATTCTTTCTTTATCCTTGGTATCGAATATGTTATAGATTTAAGGAACTTATTGTTTTATCTTGGAGAAAAGTCTTAAGTTCTTCATGTGTTTGTGGTGTAACACTTCTGGGAAAAAGTTCTATTCAATGGATGCTGCCCAGGCTTACATGAGAGATAAGGGACATTGTAAAGTATTCCATGTAGGCCATACTCTAATTTACTTCGAATTTTTCTACAACTATTCCAAAAGCCATCCTGATTACGTTAAAGGAATGGATAAAGATGAAGAGATTAACATTTTTGAATTAGATTCTGAGGACTTAACGTTAACTTTATCATCCGGAGCAACTATTGTCCATCGAACATTATTTACCTATTATAAGTAATTGTATTATTTATTACAACTTATAGTTTTTAGCATATTTAAAATATTTAATTTTATTTATATTTAGAATTTTTCCTCAAAAGTAGTGAGTTTCATTAACCTAATAAAGATTTCCTAAATCTTCATGTCTCATAGAAGATTCTACTGTTTGATCATCTTAAGTTTTTCTAGGCTATCCAGATCTATCCATTTTTCCTTAAGTACGCCATCTTTGACAATTTTTGTTCTGGCATTCTTTTTTAAATATCCTTGAGGAGTTGTTCTTATTTAATCTCTCTCTCAGAACGTTCTTCTTTAGTTCCTTCTTTTTCGAATTGTTTCATTTCTTATTTTATTCATACTGGATATTCTCTTTGCTCATTGCTAGTTATCTATTTTCAAATTACTATATATTCTTTTCACTAAACCAAATTTTCTGTTTTGTTTTCCAGGCAGCATTACGGTAATAAAGATACTGTAGTGGCTAAGCGGAATAAGATAAGTAAAGTATTATCAACATATCGTGCTCTTGGTTGGAAGGAAACAGAAAAAGAAATTGCTGTCAGGTAAATACCTAGTTAAAAATTAGTTAATAATATGTAAGTGATATTTTATTAATGCCTTATGCATTGGGGCAAGATCACGTCTGCACACTGTGCAATGAGGTAATAGGCCAAGTTATATTTTATTTATTTATTCAATGATACACTCCCCATGTAATGTATTAATTAATTGATTAATGATCATATAAATTTTCAAGTTGATATATTTTTTCTGATTCCAATTTTTGAGAGATATTTGTATATATTTATTAGATATTTATATATTGATATATATATATATATATATATATATATATATATATATATATATATATATATATTTATATAAAAGAGGTGAGGGCGGGGAATTTTTTTAAATCTCCTTCGGTACCGAGACCCAAACTCGTACTTTTTTTAATCCCTCAAAACTTCATATATCTGGTTGCCAGGCAACTCGCGGTGCTGTGCCCATTCGACCACCCCGGCCTCCCCTCTATTTCATTATATTTTCTCCTTGTATATTTATCTGCTTTGCTTTAATCTGGTAGGGAAGTGTAACCGAAATAATGAGTGACAAATTAGGAAGATCTCTTGCTATCTAATTACTGTCTCAGGAACAACCAGAGAGAAATACTTTATTTAAAGCAGTGTTGCCCTACTATATAGGGTTGCTCGATACACAGCATACTCATCAATCCTAATACTAATACATACAATTACAATTATTCAATATATTATGTATACATATTTCGGTGAAACCGATACAAGGCTTAAAAAAACAACATATATATAGTATTCGATTGCCAAAGTTTTAACACCACAAAATTAGAACGCAAGAACGCGCGCACAGCTAGTAACATAGTCCTATGAACATAGACAAAAAGATATGGTCATTTAAATAATTTAAAATTGAATAAATGAATAAATAATGATAATCAACCCCTAATTACCATATATGTGATGATGATACACTCAGTAAGGACACTATGCCTTAGGTTTATCTTTTTCTCTTTAATTATTTTGATTTATACCAAAATTTTTGTTTTATTGTTTCTTGGAGTGGTTTCAGATTATGTTTTATCCGTTTTTAACTTATCTTGATGATAGAATTTTAAATTTAATGGATTTCAGCAACTGTTGTCTTATGATGGGGCCTTAAGCCAGTAGCTGACAAACCTGTATTCTCTTAAATTCAAAGAAGTATAGATAGATAGATAGATAGAAAAAAAAACTTTATTCTGGGACTAAGTCCCTTCAGAATAACAATAATATACAAAATAATAGAATATTACTGGCCTAACCGTTTGAAACAATAAATAAAATTGATAAAATAAAATAAGAAGTAAAGAAAATCTTAGGTGCACAAGCTATATACAATACAGATAAAACTATGTTCAGAGTACAGTTCATAATTTAAAATTATGAACAAAACAATTAAAACTATGGACGAATCACTTGAACTATGAACAAAATTATATATAAGGGTTAAACAACATAAACATACACTTTGAGAAATGAAGAACGAAAAAGAGATACAATGAGTTCATTTCATAAAAAATAAAAAAACTTTACCTGAATATATAAATATATATATATATATATAAATACTGAATACTGAATATAAAGGTCTTGAAAATGATACCATTTATTACTCTCTCATTAAAAAAAAATTATAATGATTTGGATTAAATACAAACCAAAAATAGGTTTTTCTATTGCCAAATAAAGGTTCTTGACAGTGACCAGCATTTTTTTAAGAAGGGAAACAAAATTAATTAAGTTAGTTTTATAATAAATTAAAGATAATTCTTATTGATATCTATTGTAAAATGAAGAATATTAAATTTTAACACTTTATTTCACATAATTACATTCAGTACTTGTTAAATAGCGGGTAGCGTCCGTGTGATATCTGCCAATGTTTATAACCTTAACACTGATAACTGTGATAAACCACTGATAATATCTTTGTATTCCTGTTTATTGTATTATATTCATATTATTATATCTTCGTATTCATATTTATTGTATTGTATTGATATTATTGAAATTGTAAACAAAAACAAATATAATAATAAAACAATACTTTTATTTTACCTTTAAATAAACCAAACCTTAAACAAATATAATTTTTTTTTTTTTTTTTTTTGGGTCTTTCCCTTCCTCGCCGTTAAGGCTATACGGGATTTTCCCGGGCCAGGGAGTGTGGGCGGGGATTTAAAAGACTCCCCCGGCACCGGGACGCGAACTCCTGACTATTTTTATATCTTTGTATTCATATGTCAGGTTGCCAGGCAACGGCGGTGCAGTGCACACGCTTTAGCCCATTCGGCTACCCCGCCCACTAAACAAATATAATTAAAAAACATTACAACATATGTATAAAAATAAATGGGTATTTCCTGGATTTTTCAAAGTTTACTTAGTTAACACATGTTAACTCCCCCTATACCTGCAATCCTTACCGCTGCCTTTCCAGTTCTAAGTGAAACTCCTAGATGAACACACCTGTAAGTCCCTAATTTTATTTTTCTCCTGTAGATTTTGTAGAATTATACTCACATTTTCATTTATTATATATTACACTACAACAATTGTTAGCATCTATTTACTTTAGTTTAGGATCTTGTTACTCAGCTTACTTAGTCCATATTTTATTGTACTTACTGTTTATAATTTTAATAGGCTTATTCACATTGTTTATAAATTATGTCTAAATATTATGTAATTGCCACAATTCTCTATCTTTTTGTATCTTGTCCGTTCTAGCCCTGATGAAGACCTGCATAAGTCAGGTCGAAACGTTGGCTTTCATTAAAATAGTTTTACCACTATTTAGCCTATTTATGACCGCAACCCCGGACCATCTCCTTCCTTTATAAAAATAAATGAAATGATTAAAATAGGCAAAAAATAAATGAAATTATAAAAAAAACTCTTAAACCTATTAAAAACTTAATAAAAACCACTTTAATGTTGTATCCTTTCCAACAGTCGGAATAAATAGTGCTTCCCTCTTGTACATTGTTTTTAATAGCTTCTAATAAAATTGTTGCTTTTCTGTCGTTTATTTTGACGATAAAACACTCGTCTGTTTCTCGGCACACTCCGCCAAACATCCATTGCTCAGGTAGGACTATCCCTACATGATTTTTCTTTTAGAAAAAAGACTCTCGTCTACTTCAATGACTTTTCCAAGCCCCCCCCCAATTTTTTTAATTGACCTGTATAACATGTTATAGGCACAAACCTCTCTTAAAAATTTGTTCCACGTTACGATAGTTGGCTGGGATAGTTTGAGCTGCTCTTTCTCCCACTGTATTGTTGTTGAATTATGGGACCATCCATAAATTTCCTTATAGAAATGGTTTAGTTACAAGTACAAAATCATCTCCATTTAATCTTCCTGTCGAACTTCATTTCATGACCTTCATCACAATATTTCACTTTTGCAATTATCCCGGCTTCTTGAAAATATTTTATAGTCTCTTCTTCTGAAAACGGCAATTCCCACAATATAAAAACATCCATAATTAAATAAGACTAACTCACAGCTTGAACAAGGAACAAAAAATAAACAATGGAATAACTTAGATTAGAGGAGATTAAAAGGGAGGTTATGTGAAATAAGATTAGATAACAAGGGAGGTTTCGACGCTACCCACTATTTAATAAGTACCTTACATTCTTGTTCTCATTCCTGCCAACAATAGCAACATTAAAAATCAAATGGTGTCAGCTGCTGGTGCTACAAAATTATACTATAAATTTATAATTTTTTAAAATTTAGATGAATGTTTCATGAATTTAAAATATTTCTTGGTAAGGTGAGAAATAGTTCTATAAGATGAATTCAAGAAAAATATAATAGCATCAATATTTTAGTTTTTATACCTAAAAGTTCAAAGGAATTCCCTTAAGCATGTCTGCTACTGGTGTATTTACCTTAGTTGTATTTATTATAAGAAGTTAAAGTATTTTTGTTCTCTATTCCCACAGCTCAGAACACTGGGTATTTTAACAGTTTTGTTTATTATTTTAGTACTCACTGTATGCTTTAATACGCACTTGTAAAATCCTTGTATATTGGTAAGTGCTCTCCCAAAATAGCAGATCGTTTAATACAAAATTTAACTAATTAATTTTTGATAGGTTGTGTGTTCCTTCAAAATTTTCTATAAGTACATTTTTTTAAATCTGTTTTAGTTAGTTACTAAATATACTTTTATTTCTGTTGCAGGAAAGCTAAAGACATTAGATATATGAGGGCAGTACAGTCCAAGATGGCAATGAGGCTAGGTGTGAAAACTAATAAACTTCAAAAGCATTTTAGACCTCAGGTCAATTTCTAAATCATCAAATGTTCATTTTTATTTTTATTTTTTGTAATAAATTACATCTCTTCAGCATTGATTCTATTTATCTTTATTTTGTTGTATATTTCAAAGCAATTTTATACAATGTTTATCAATAAAGTTTTTATTTGATTTGGTATTTTTTTATATTTTGTGTTATTGGTGCTGATTGTGGAATGATTATTTATTCAATAAATAAGTTTTTTCTTTCCACAATGGAACCTAATACCTTGAGGTACTGGTTTATTTATTTAATAATTAGAATATTGAACATATTGTTTTTATTTCTGGAAATATTCATGGAATATGATTCATTATTCACAATAAAATACATGCTCATCAAGTGATAAGTTTAATTTCTAGTTTTTACAAAAAGTTTTAGATCGTTACTATATAAAAGAAATTTTATCTTATAATGGACCAACAAATTTTACTGAAGCCTCTATTTGGATTTCAGCAAATTATCATATTTATAATTATAAGAATTATAAAACTAAAGAAGGTTTGTATCTATATTATCTCATAAGTTATAAATCAATATTACAATGCAATGCTTGACTGATAAGAGTTTGAAATCAAGTAAATATGATTTTAGTTTGCTTGCCTGTTTCTTTGGCCTAAGATCTTAGATAGAATTAGAATCGTAACATAGAAAAAGCATTGTATGAGAAGGGGGTGGACTTGGGATTGATAGTCTCTTAGAAGCCATTATAAAAACAATAGGAATGTGTTCAGGATATGCTACTTGGCATCCAATGAGTTCTGAACTACTGGAGGAATCAGGCAAGGTTGTAGCTTAAGTTCACTCCTCTTTTTTAGTGGTATTGAAAAGAGTCCCGAGGAAAGCCTAACAGGAAATGAAACCCTTACATTTTGGCTACAGAATATTGCTTCTTATTCAGTCAAATATGCTTGCCTATGATGATGACCTGGTAGCCTTTGGAGACTGGAAAGAATCTTCAGTTTAATCTGTGCATCCTGAGGGATCGGCTGTGATAAATAAACGTGTTCACTAAGACACAAATTATGCGTGTTGGAAGGAACCTCCTGGTTGGTGCCATTAGGCTGGACGGAACGTGTATACAAAACATAAACGATTTCAAATACCCAGAAGCCCAGCTAGCTAAACAAGAATGGCGGGGTGGATGGAGATGTAAGAGAGAGGATTAAGGCAACCAGGTGTTTTAATGCTATTAGGAAAAGTTGGGTAGAAAGAGAACAAAACAATTGGACGAGGCAGAAGGCATAAGGCAGAATCCTTACACTGTTTAGCTGTAGATGAGGATGGTTTAAGTAATTAACTATGATTTTTCTTTATTATTACTTCTCTCTTTATTATAATATATTTTTACTTTCCTACCTAGTTAAGAAAAGTATTGCGATCGGGTCAAATTTCTGATATGCGGTTTTTGACAGATCTATACATTTCTGAGCACCCTGAGTCCGAAAAATACATTTTTAGTCATTGGTCTGTCTGTCTGTGCCAAGATTTTCTCTGGAACTAGTGAACCGATTTTGTTGCTTCTTTGTTTATTTTGTAGGGGTTTGACTACTGATGCCTGTGACAGAAATTGGGTGCTCCATGCTCACTAGTTCAAAAACGGCTCTAACGATTTTGATGAAACTTTTCTATAATGTTCTAATAATTGTTGTACATGGACTAGATTCACCAGAAAATTCAGGAAAAAAAGTTATAAAAAAAAAGAAAAATGTTTTTGGGCCTAACTCGCTAAGTATATATTCTGTGGTAAAATTTATAATAAATCTTTTGAAAGGTAATTAAATTACCTATATTTCAGAGCTTCCTGAGTCCTAAAAAGCACTGTTTAGCTTGTTTTTTTGAAAGGTTATGAAATTATCTATAAAACTATATAATAATCATTATTTACATATACAACTATTAACAAAGTTATAGCTATTCAATTTTCAATATAAGATTACGGGTTCATTTCGTGGTGTCAGAAAGGGTTAGTGAAAATAAGAAAATCTGTTGCCCGCATCACTCAAAGTTCACTATTTCTGCCACTTTTAACAGAAATTATTGTTTGACAAAATTAGGCTATGGCAAAAAGTTTTTGATCAGCAATATTAGAGGGAATTGAAATTTTTATACTGATCTACCTTAAGCTGGATTACATTGCTTTAGTTTATCAAATAAATCGTACTCAAATATTTTCTTTGATAAATTTTCAGAAAAATGAATCTAATTCAATTTTTTTTTTTGTTTCTTGATGGACATATGTAAAGATATAAAAACTTTTCTGAAATAGGTAGGAAAGTAGTGTGAGTGGACACACCAGATTTTTTTTTTTTAATCAAATTAATTACAAATCATCATTTTCATTAAGAAACTGAACATCAATATAAATAATAGTTCTGGAGCCAGGGTCCAAAAATCAACCTGATCGCAGGAGAAGATTTGATTGTAAATTACAGAAGCGTATGTTATTCTAAGTAAAACCAACATTGTCTGCCATTTCAGAGCCGCTGCTTTAAAAATTGGCAGCTGATTTAAAAAATATTTGAACAGTAACTTAAGGATTAAAATGGGAAAAATATTGTGAAAAGTTATTTTTTTAACTTGTGTATATGGGTTTATAATAATGCGAAATACAAAATTCCTAACTTGAGCAACCAAGGGAAAACGTTTTACAGCCGAAAAAGTCATATTTTTTGTTTTTTTCACGTATAACCCCTAAACTGTGCATCAAAGCAAAAAATGGTATCCTTGAATTTTACTATAAATTGTGCTGGAATGAGTACCTAAACTTAATAATTTGGCTAAGTAATATGGTATAAAACCATTGTCAACGAACGCTGATTTTTATCAAATTTGTCAAACACTGAGACAAACTACTTAAATGGCCTAGTCTAGCTAGGAAACGAGTTCTCTAAGAAAAAAGACCCATATAATCAAAGTTGTAGAGCATCAAATTTTTTGTCCAATGAGTACCAACAGTTTCAATGTGGGTTTTAAAACTAATTTTAAATTAGCCGCCATTTATGAAAGCAGCGGCTCTGGAATGGCAGACAAGGTTAACTTTACTTAGAATAACATACATTTGTAATTTACATTCAAACCTTCTCCTGCGATAAGGTCGATTTTTGGACCCGGGTTCCACGGCTGGCTATAGCGGTATATACTGTATGGAAGTAATAGAGCAAATTGCTAATTGAAGAAGAAAAGCTCCCAGTTGACATACCGAGAATGTTTGCTGTTGCAGAATTTGGTTTTATTACTTAACGAAATATGTTTATAAAATAGGGTGGCAAATTCCTCACTCTATAATCTTTGATGTTCAGTGTCAATCATGGATGCAATATATTTAAATGTATGCTCTCACTTATTGGACATAAAAAATAAAAAGTATTCCAAATCGAAATGGTACTAGGTAGACTGCTAGATTTCTAATGGCGAAAGCTGAAGAAGGGAGGCATAATTTTAATAAAATAAAGATGTTTACTGCAAAAGAATATTGAGGACTTCTTAAATATTTCTGCCTTTCCTTTCTGGCGTACTCTGTCATAATCACATTTATGATCTAATAAGTAAAACTTTAGTGCACACATCACACGACTTTCACTTACCACCCTCTTCTTAATAAAAATAAATATTTTCAGACAAAGGGGAACCAAAAGTAAAAATTATAGATGCTATATTTATTTACATTTCATTGTGGGAATTTTATTTGTTTAATTACTCTTATATATATACAAATTTTATATCGCTATAATTTATATAGTTAAATATTAAATAATACCAATGATAGCATTTATGAAAACCACATATTTATATATACCTAATATTATCAGAGACCATATTATATTAGACTGTAGACTGTAAACTGTAGTGCTAAAATGGCTGTAACAATTTTGTTGAAAGTTTCCTATAATTTTCTAATTAATGTCCTTTCAATGTTTGTACATGTACTAAATTCTGAAGAAAATACAGGAAAAAAAGTCATAAAGAAAAGAAAAATGTTTTGGGGCCTAACTCACTAAGTATGTATTCTATGGTAAAATTTATATGAAAACTTTTGATAGGTAATTAAATTATCTACAAAACAAAACAAAAAATCATCGGAATAGAACCAGTATTAGCGATAATACAACGTATTTTATTTTTTACACATGTTTTAATTTATTACTTTTCTACATATAGTAGGTAAGGAAAGTATTATGGTCGAGTCAAATTCCGACAAGCGGTTTTCAAGGGATCTATACGTTTCAGAGCCCCCTGAGTCCGAAAATGATTGTTATTCTGGTTTTTTTTTTTTAAGGCAAAGAAATTCTCTTCAAAACTATATTAAAATTCTTTATTTCGGAAAACTATTAACGAAGTTGCAGTTACTTAATTTTGAATGTAAGAATAGGCATCCAAGCAGTGAATGAGAGAAAAAAAAGAAAAGCAAGTGGAGGTAAGAAAATCTGTTGCTTGCATCACACAAGTTTTCTCTCGACTTTTAACAGAAATTGTTTGACGAAATTGGGCTAAGGACAAAAAGTTTCTGATTAACAATATTAGAATGTATTGAATTTTTTACGCTGATCTTCCACAAGCTGGTTAATTGCTTTAGTTGATCTAATAACTCGTACTTAAATCTTTTCTTTGATCAATTTTCAGGAAAATAAATCTAATTCAATTTTTTTGTTGTTTCTTAATGGACATATTTAAAGATATAAAAACTTTTCTGATATAGGTAGGAAAGTCGTGTGAGTGGACACACCAGATTTTTTTTACTTTATATTTATTCAACACTTTGTATTAACATGTGAATATTTCGACTGTTATGCTATCCTCAGGCCAATCTAAGAAGACATAATAAAAATTGCTATCTTATATGTTTAAATTTTAATTAAATAGTGATTCTAGTCTTTAAGTATTATATTGAGCAATGATAAATGAATAATTGCTAGTTAATTTGCTGGTGGATGGGACTGCTGTGAGAAGTTTGCTGGTGAGAAGTCAACTGCCAAATAATCTGTGAATATGGCAT